TGTGTGTGTGTGCAGCACAGAAAACAGTGTGCGAGTGCAGAAGTGAGTTCTATTTTGTCTTCTTGCAGTTGAATCTTTTGAAATCACAATAAATGCGCATACAGAAATCGAGACGCAGAATCGAAATGTAATTTTATAACAAGTAATTTGATTCCTGACCTTATGCATCTGATCTGATTTCCGAAATTGGAATAGCTTTTCAATTCCCAACCCTTCTACTAAATTATTTCATTCTTGCATGCAAAAAAACCTGTATGGTGACTATGGGGCTATGTAAAATATTTTTTGCAACTTACTAGGTTTATCATTTGTAATTTTTTCCCGATAATTTCGATAATCGCCTGTTACCTGACTGTTGACATCGACATCGCGATACTTACGAGACATTGTCGATATACGATAATATCGTCATATTGCCCAGTCCTAGTGGTAAGTGAACTGTCATGTACTGTAATGCAACAGACTACCGCTACCAAGCGGCTAACCTTTTAGTGGGTCCGTAGAACGCGTTATTTGTTTCACGCTTCGGGCACACCCTTAACCCCGCCCCCCCGATGTCATCGTCCATCACGATGTTTCACTGCAGACATCGCCCGATGCCAATTTGGTAGACATCGCCCAACCCTATTACACAGTGTGTATTCGTCAACAAAATGACATTCCACGAAACTCTGATTAAACTGGAAGTGATACACCAACATTCAGAATTTATTATTTTTGAAAGAAATTGATACTATATTTCATAAAGGATGCATTAAATCGATCAAAAGTTACAGTAAAGATGTTTAAAATGTCAGTAGGGATGTAACAATTACCGGTTTGACGATAAATCATGATAAAATGCCCACGGTTAGTATTACTGTTTCATATTTTAATTATCATTAAAACCGTATTAGATTACCGCGATTTGAACAACTCACGATAAATAAATACTGTCGGAAGTATTAAAAGCATTAAAAGCATAAAGCAGAGTTTTAAGTAACAGTCTCACGTGCGCACAGCATGCAGAGTAGTTTCGTTTTGAGTGAAAACAGGGCGGAAAAGCTGGGAGGTTTTAAAAGAGTGCTAAGGGAATTATACAAATGAATATATGAATGAATGAATTATATGAATGTACCTCTGAAGGTTCTGACTTCTTCTATGTCTTCAGAAATGATTCGATGGCATTTTGTTTTCATCTTCGCTGCATGCAATACCTAATAAAGTAGTGTTCTTAATCGCAATACTGCTTTGTCCACTGAGTTTTCGGGAAACAGCTGCTGTTCCAGAAGCGCCACCTGCAGTTAGTGAGTGGATTTACAGAGACTTATATTTACATTCAACCTGTGTGCAGTTTCTCTCTGGCCAAAAATGGACCGAATTTGCATGCTCTGCTGTAAATTTTGACCGGTTGATGAAAAACAAGCTTATGTGGATTCTACACATTTAAACAATTCAGATGTTATCTAGAATTATTTATTAATTTATTAATCAATTATCATTTTGACTTAACTCTTTTCTTTATTTAAAGGCTGAAATGTGAGTTTTACCTTTTTATGAAACTTTTTCAAAGCTTTATTTGAACATTTACATTAGATATTTGAACATGCTATTAAACTGTTGCCAGTCAAGTTGTCATTTAAAATCCGAACATCATTGGTAATGTTACGGTTTTAGTGATTATGCAAACAAAAAGTCATTTTATTTGTCATTTGTTGATTTTTAAATATAAAACTTGGTGAAGTGATTTGTGTGTCGGTACTTTTTGAACATCTCCAGCACATTTTAACCATACCGTGATAATACTGATAACCGTGATAATGTTGGTCACTATAATCGTGATAAGACATTTTCATACCGTTACATCCCTAAATGTCAGAACATTTTTCTATTTAAAATATAACTATTTTTCAAATGTTTTATTTAGTCAAGATCTTTGAACTTTATATTCATTGAATCATTATAAATATTGAGCAGCACAACTGTTTTCAACATTAATAATAAGAAATGCTCCGTGAGCACCAAATTTGAAGCATCTTGTGACACTGAAGACTGAAGAAAATTCTGTTTTATTCAGATTTATTCAGATTAGTTCACAAGAATAAATTACTTCTTAAAAATTTAATAGAACAGTTATTTTATTTGACATGATTACTTTTACTGTATTTCGATGACATAAATGCAGCCTTGGTGAACATAAGAGGCTTTTTTCAAAACCTCTTAAAACATCTTACTGACCCCAGATTTTTGAACGGTATTGTGCCTTTAACTAATTTCATCATTTATCAACAAATTTATCATATCTAAATTCATTTTACATATTTCTTCCCCCTAACATCAACTAATGTGAGAAATAGACAATAGCGAGTTTTCTGTGCTTTTTCAATGTTAACACCTTCACCCTAACCCTGCCTTCAATAAAATACTAGTGTAAAACTCAAGAGGAAAAACAGCATTTACCTGAAATACACACATCTACAATCTTTGTGTATCTCATTGATAATCCCATTGACACACTATTCCCTTATTCCTCTCCTTAACATATGAACACAATTTCAAACCAATCACCCAAACCATTGTTTCTCTGCATAGCCAAATGTGACCCAAACGGCCTCTTCACACCTCAGTCCTAACACATGTATTCCCCAAAGACAATCGCTGCTGAGTGAATGAATGAATACCTAAAGACGACGTGAATGCCACACAACAGTCTCTAATGCAGAATGTTACATTCTGATGTAGTGAGTCATTTGAGAGAAAAAAAAGTGTGCAGTTCCCTAATGTTTGCATTTACCTGAAATGGAGGCAAAGTCTCTCCATTACTGCCGACCCATATGAGAGAAGATCAGAAGGCCATCAAATCAATAAAATTAAATAATGTAATTTAGATTAATATCCTGACAGATAGTGTTTGTTTACTAATGCATTGCAAATGTGAAGAGACAAATTCTGAGCTTTCGGAGCCTGGTGAGAATAAAAAGCGAGGCCATTACCGTGCTATATTTTTAAAGGCCACCATCCATTAAAACAGACTTCTGCAAACACTGGGTATCATCCAAATACGGCGAAATCAATTCTCCTGCTGCCTCAGTCTGCTTTGTATTATAAATTGCTGCTGCATTTCTATTGTGCATCCAGATGAAACAAAACAGATGACCCCTCCAGTTATCTCCAGTTTTCGCCTTTTTCCCTCACTCAAACAAAACCAAACAAAAAACAAATTTTTGTTTGCTATAGGGGTTTGTGATTCAAAACAGACACTTTGTGGCTACTGTCAAGCGTCTGCTTGGTCCGCTGAGAAGGAAGCAATGGTCAAGTGTAGACACTTTACTAGAATGAAACTAACTTACCCTCAGCCGATGGCGAGAGAAGGAAGGCAGCTCCCAAAAGGCCAATGACGATGACCATGGAAGTGCTTTTTATCATGTTGGCTGAGATCCGAAACTATATAGCTGTCTTGGTTGTGCCGTACTCTTTTGAGACAAACAAAGTGGCCAATGATCTGTGAAGGTGAGTAGACCGAGGAAGAGTATGTGAGTGTGAAGACAACTTCAAGGCCTCTTTACAGCCTCCTCTTGTTTAAGACCCTGTAATGAAGAGAGAGGAACACTTATTAATGTTTCAGAACCATCATCGTGACATGTTTCCTTGCTGAGTGCCAGAAAGCAAGCTTGACAGAGAAAACTGGAGTGGTATTCAAATTCCTTTGTACTTCCATCTTCGTGCTGTGACTTGACCCCTGACCCCGTATCAGAGCAGAGCTGTGAGATGGCGGCTCTCGAAACTGGAAGGCTGGTTAAAGGGATATTCTACCCAAAAATGTAGATTCTGGATTGTTTACTCAACCTCATGTTGTTCCAAACCTTTCTCTTCCCTTCATACAATGGATTTCAATGGTCACCAAAACCATATGGTTACCAAAATATTTTATTTTTTTGTTCTGCAGAAGAATGAAAGTCACACAAGTTTGTAAGGACTTGATGGCAGAGTTTTTATTTTTGAGGGGTGAACTATCCCTTTAAGCAGTGTCCCGTTCAAAATAGCTGGTGTTGAGTTCTGTCCAGCGTTAATAACATAATGTGTCTGCTCTCTCGTAGCTCCTGCTTGTCTCGATGCAATTAGTGGCTCCCAGAGGCTCTGCGGGACTGGGGGCCTGAATTAACAGGCACAGAGAGGGGGCCGGTGTCTGTCACTTTTCATTTGGCCGAGGGGGACAAAGAGCCCCGACCTGCGCCCTACTTTTCACACTTCCCTGACTCCTGGGTAATGGGGAAACAAAAGGCGGGGCTCCTCTGGCTCACAGGGACCCCTGAAGACAGACTGGGTCCCTCTTCACACAGGACCACAGGGCAAGGGATGGAGAGATATGACCTACAACAGGTTTCAACAACTCATCCCATCCCTGGTAAAGAAAATAAACTAGTGTGCAACTTTCACCGACAGTACAATTAACTTTTATTATTATTATCAATATGATTATTACTACCACTACTACAATTACTGTTATTATATATTAAATATTACACCGCTACTAAATATTAATACAGATTTACACAGTTTTCCTAAGCTTAATTAAATTGATCATTACATTCAGTTAATTAATAAATAATTGTGATAATGACAACATACTACTACTACTACTACTAATAACAACATTACATGTATAACAACAAGTGTATAAAGCATCCATACAGTCAGATGGGAGGGATCTTGCATTAAAGCTTGTAAATAACCAGAATGAAAAATTCACTGTTGGTTTTGCAGTCGGTGTGAATATGCCTTAGGAGAGATAAAGATGGAAGACTGGTAAAAGCATGCCGTGACTAGTCAGTGTGGAAAGCTTCATGGCCTAAGGACAGGAAGTGTGCTGACAGAGAAAGAACGGTTTCTTATCTTATCATGAGGTCCCTGACACTTACACTTACATCTGTGAACAAGATCATCCCACCACAGTCACAACACACAAAACACACAGCTTAATATCAATAACATAACAGTTCGAAAACTGGCACAAAGCAAATCTCTGCAGCAGATGGACCACCAATAAGTCAGAAGGCAAAGATGCCATAGAGCTGTGCTAAATGGCATAATTTATAGTCTCACTGAGCACTCTTTCAGAGGAAAGCTCCTCGTTTATTTCCTTTGAATGGATGAAAGACCAGAGAGACGGGGGGAAAGGTAAAGCAACTGTAGCCACCATATAGAATGACCACACCTTAAAGCAAATCACTGAGGCATGGCATGTGGTTTCTGGAAAGGCATTCCCACAGTCTTCAATCATATGATGCTTGAAGGGGAAGTCACTCTGGAGACAGAAATCTGAGGAAGAACAGAGCCAGCTGTGTCACTCGTTTCCCCAAAGATAATGCTGCTTTGACAGCGCCTTTGAATATCTTTGTTTTTTCAGCTAAGTCCATTTCATAGAAGAAAAGGATAACTGCAAGATGCCAAACATCCCGTTTCAGACAGGTTTTGGAAAGGCAGGTGAGATGAACAGCTAAAGGGCTCACCCGAGATATCCTGTTAAGCCTGTGGCCTTAATCGATGCACACACTAAAGAAACGCATACATAACCAGAGCTTTACATGAAAACAAAACCACAGACCAACACCAAAGAACATCTATTCAGAATTAGGGATGCACCAATATTAAAATTAACCCAATAATTGTTTATAGATAATTGTTTTCATATTATGGCTTATGCATTTTTAAAATATCATAAAAATTAAAAAAAAAAAACACTAAAAACTAAAATCAATCGTTTTAAATACTGTAAGTGAATTTAGGCATCACAATATTATGAGAAAATATATGAAATTAATATTCATTTTGGGATTTGCTAAAGATTACATTTAGCTGTGTTACTATTAATTAATTATTAGTTATTAATTAATTTTATAGATTAATTTAACTGGTTTATTATCTTAGATTAACTAAATCTATTAATATTTTAAAGACTAATTTCTTTACTTTATTTTTATCTAACTTTATTAAGATTAACTTAATTTGCTAATTTATGCTATATTTTAAAGCCTAACTTTTATTTTTTATTTAACCTTATTATCATTATTTAATTTAATTTAACTGTTATTAACTATGGATTTCCATTGCCACCTGTATTATTATAGTGGTTATCTGCACAAGGTAAAATGTTTATTTACTTATGTATTTTTAAGCTAACTTTATTAACATGATTAAGCTCAACTTAACTTTAACTATTAAATGAGTGTTAGATGATGCCATAAGTAATCAAACTGGAAAAAATAGATGAATTGAGCATGCACAATTCATTATGCGATATCAACTTATTCAGATTAAAAAAAAAAACCTATATTATCTGCAGATAACCAATATGGTATTTGTAATCAGAATCTCTTAAAAGAACTGCCAAAAGGACATCACTAAATCGGTGCTAACAATGATGAAGGTACTGAAACGTGTCTATCATTTCTATATAGTCTACAGAAAAACAAGTCCCGCTCACCACAAAGCACGCAAACAAACACAAACATGCTTTTCACCAGTGCCGACCATGCTCTTTAACTCGTAGATTGAGTGAATGTGGTATGTGGATATGTGTGCTGGCATGCGTTTCGCGGGCCGCTCCTTGCAGGCAGCCCAGCACCTCCCCTGCCTCTCAAGTCACGCCGGCCAGCAGGGAGAGCAGACTTCCTGGCTCCACTCTCATTGTTTGCTTGGCTGCTTCTGAGGCTCATCCAAGGCTGGATTACCATAAGAATACTGAAACGTTCCTGCAGAGCACTCCCCGTCCAAAACTCCTGCTGCACTTCTTCTCTCCTGTCCTCCTCTATCTATCATTCCCTGCTGGCTGCAGCTCTTCCAACATCTCAAGTCACGCTCTGCTACCAGCACAGCCCTCTCACAGCCCATCGTCGCTTTCTCTCTCACATCTACAGCCCATCTTTGGTTTGTATCTGCGGCTTATCGGATGTCTGAACAACCCTCAAGAGACACACAACACTCTAATGGAAATATAAAAGGGGGTTATTGGGAAATAAGATGTGAATTTAGTAAGACTGATGGCATCTGAGTTGATACCAGGAGGGTAAAAACGAATCTTTCTGTGGGAACATCTACAAAAGAGAAATCGAGTGGAAAGTGCAGAAAGTTGAAAGAAAGGAAATGAGGGCGGAGGTTTGTGGCAACAGACGCAGGGCTCTATCCAGACAGCCGTGGGTTCAAGAACACACTGATGATGGTGTTGCATAGTCATCCTGCTCTACCAATCACCCACGTGGAAGCCAGTAGTAATGTACCTTGGGTTCGTCTGTGCTAAATTTACCTGTATTTAGTATTGAGAGTCTGGATTAATTAAAACGAACTAAATTCATGTCAGTGGTCGACATACACTATCAGTCAAAAGTTTGCACACACCAACTAATTTTCTAGCATTTTTCACATTTTATAGTACAGCAAGATCATAAAAAAAAAAACATATATTTTTGAAAGTAGAAACTATGAAGTAATTTTTGATGCAACCCTCTACATTGTGAGTAAATCACTCGCATATGCGACTAAATAATGTCTAACATTAGCTATTGGCTAATAAATTCTTAGATTTTACACGCCAGTATGTGTGTGAGAGGTGCTCAACACAGAGTTTAACTCGATAAACACGCTGACTGAGCGCTTGAGAGTTTCGCTCTCCGTCAAGCGATCTGTACTATTTGGATGCGCTCAATAGATCATGTCATGTACTGAATGGAAGAACAAGCAGAAGATATGCCGGTTTCTCGGCAGTGGGCGGAGCTAATGCGCGAAAAGCTCTCGTTGGCTGGCGCTCATTTTTACCGTCCCTGTTTTGATTTCAGCAAATCAGTTTGAGCGAATGGCTGAAGTTAAGAGTGCACATTCAGTTATTTAAGAAGCTGTTCCATTTTACAAAGATAAGCTGATTGGGTGGAATCATATGTGTGTGTGTGTGTGTGTGTGTGTGTGTGTGTGTATGTCCTCATTTGTAAAACTGTTATAAAAATAAAGTAAACAAAGTTTTTTTTTACTCTTGAAATTGTAAAAATGCAGAAAGTTTTCTTTGAGGGGTAGGGTTAGGGGTAGGGGTGGGTTTAGGTTAAAAAGTGTATAGCTATCTGTATATAAAAACAATAGAAGTCTATGTAATGTCCCCATTTAGATAGCTAAGTAAACGTGTGTGTGTGTGTGTGTGTGTGTGTGTGTATAAAATAGTATATCAATCTGGCGAATAAACAAAAAAATTTACTAGCCAATGGCAATTCTATTGCCAAGGTGTGCGTAGAGGGTTGTGATGAAAAACAGAATAAGGAAAATTTAGGAAATTCCTGTGTAACATCATATAATTGTATTTTGTATAAATAGTTATGTTTGTACTTATTTTGGTATCAGTAATAAACTGTCTATACACAAGTACTGGCCATGTTTTATGGACAGATTATTATCACTTATGATAAACTCTGATTCATCATATGGCTTTCAAATGCACCATCTGTACTATTATAATAGTTACATGTACAATTTAAAGGCAAAATGCAGATTTTGGTAGTTCAAATAGATTGGTTTACATTATATTGATAATTAAATATACGACTGT